GGGCTCAGAGACCCCAGAGTGACAAGGTCAGGACAGGGGGGTCACCAGGGGACACAGTGGGGGCTCAGGGACCCCAGAGTGACAGAGTGAGGACAGGGGTCACCAGGGGACACAGTGGGGGCTCAGCGACCCCAGAGTGACAGAGTGAGGACAGGGGGCACCAGGGGACACAGTGGGGGCTCAGCGACCCCAGAGTGACAGAGTGAGGACAGGGGGCACCAGGGGACACAGTGGGGGCTCAGCGACCCCAGAGTGACAGAGTGAGGACAGGGGGCACCAGGGGACACAGTGGGGGCTCAGCGACCCCAGAGTGACAGAGTGAGGACAGGGGGCACCAGGGGACACAGCGGGGGCTCAGAGACCCCAGAGGGACAGGGTCAGGACAGGGGTCACCAGGGGACAACGCTGGGGGCTCACAGTGACCCCAATGTGGCGTGGTCAGGACACGGGGTCAGCAGTGGGGACCTCGGGGTGACCCCCAAGTGGTGTGGTCAGACAGTGGGGTCACCAGGGGACACCAATGGGGGCTCACAGGGGGCTCACAGTGACCCCCGAGTGACAGGGTCAGGACAGGGGGTCACCAATGGGGACACAATGGCGGCTCAGAGTGACTCCCAAGTGACATGGTCAGGACAGGGGGTCACCAACTGGGACCTCAGAGTGACCCCTGAGTGGCGTGGTTAGGACAGGGGGGTCACCAGTGGGGACCTCAGAGGCATCTGGGATGGGAGAGGATCTGGGAGCATCCCATGGGACAGGGGAAGGATCTGAGAGCATCCCCTGGAATAGGAAAAGGATCTGGGATCATCCTATAGGATGGGAGAGCATCCCATGGGACATGGAAAGCACCTGGGAATATCCTATGGGGTGGGAAAAGGACCTGGCAATATCCTATGGGGAATATCACACGGGACAGAAAAAGGAATTGGGAGTATCCCATGGGACAAGGAAAGGATCTGGGAGCATTCCATGGGACAGGAAGGACAGGAGAAGGACTTGGGAATATCCCATGGGATAGGAAAATGACCTGGGAGCATCCCAGGGGACAGGGGAAGGAGCTGGGAATATCCCATGAGGTGGGAAAAGGACCTGGGAGCATCCTATGGGGTGGGAAAAGGACCTGGGAGCATCTCAGGGGACAGGGGAAGGAGCTAGGAACACCCCAAGGGACAGTGGGGACAGCGAGGACAGTGCAGCCCTGTCCCAAATTCCCAAATTGTCTCACCAGCACGGAGCAGGAGGTGTTGTCCAGCAGGAAGAGCTCCTGTCCCATGGCCAGCAGCACCATGGTCACCCTGTCCTGGGCCAGCACGGTCCAGCACGGCGGGGGCTTCTGCAGCCCTGCGGGGACAGCGTGACACCCCTGGGACATGGGCAGACAGGGGGGACAGAAGAGGGACAGGGGGGACAAGGGGACAGGGAGGGACAGACAGAGGGGGACTGGGGACAGAGGGCACTGAGGGATGGTGGGACAAGGAGGGGACACACGGAAAAAAGGAGAGGGGTAGACAGAAGATGGACAGAGGGGGACAGTGGGGACAGTAGGGACAGAACAGAGGGGCGTGTGGGACAGGGAGACAGCGGGGATTGGGGACAGAGAAACAAGGACAAGGGGACACGGGGATGTGGGGACAGAGGGACAGAGAAACAAGGACAAGGGGATGGGTGGGGGGACAGAGGGACAGAGAAACAGAAGGGGAACAGGGAGTACAGAGGGGACAGAGGGGGACAGAGAGGGACATGGGGACACCCACCAGGGACCTCGGGCAGGCGGCGCAGCTTGAGGTCCTCGATGTTGGTGGCCAGGGAGAAGCGCAGCGCTCCCGTCAGGATGGCCACGCCCGTCCCGAACTCCGTGTGGAAAACCTGCGCCTCCAGCACGTGGTTCTGCAGCACCTCCTGCAGGACAGGAGAGGAGGGGACACTGGGGACACCGGGGACACCGGGGCACGCAGGGCTCGGCTGATGCAGGCAGTGAATGTGCTGCCCTCCGGGATGGATCCCAGCTCTTTTCCCCAGGGATGGGACAGCCCCTGGCTCCCCGTGGTGCCCCAAGGAGTCGGTTCTGCATCCCCCAAACTCCACCCAGGGCATCTCACAAGGGGTAGAATGAGGGGGAAATGGAGAAGATGAGATTGGGGTGGGATTTTGGGAAGGAATTCCTGGCTTGAGGGTGAGGAGGGGCTGGGATGGAATTCCCAGAGAAGCTGTGGCTGCCCCTGGATCCCTGGCAGTGCCCAAGGGCAGGCTGGACAGGATTGGAGCCACCTGGGATGGTGGAAAGTGTCTCTGCCCAGGGCAGGGGTGGAATGGGATGGGCTGTGAGGTCCCTTCCCACTTGCCCCACCCCAAATCCATCCCAAATCCCATCCCAAATCCATCCCAAATCCCGTTCCCTCACGTTTCCCATGCTGAAGTGCCGCTTGAACTCGCAGAAGAGGTTGTAGACCAGGACAGTCCCATCCTCCTGGATGCACAGCAGGTCCTCCCCTGCTGTCCAGCCCAGGTGCACCAGGTGGCCGCTCTTCCACTGGGAATGGCACAGGAAGGGTCAGCCCCGAGCCAGGGATGGCCCTCCAGGGACACACCTGGGGTGGCTGAGGTCTGACAGCTTGTCCAGAGCTTGGACACTTCATCCAGAGGTCCAACACCTCAGACGGAGCTCCAACACCTCATCCAAAAGGTCAAAACCTCATCCAGAGAACTGGCACCTCATCAGAGGTCTGACACCTCATCCAAACGTCCAACATCTCATCCACAGGGCTGACACCACACCTCATCCAGAGGTCCAACACTGACACTTCACCTGGAGGTCAGTGCCTTATCCAGAGGTCCAACACCCCACCTGGAGGTCCAACACCTCATCCACAGTCCAGCGCCTCACCCAGAGGTCCAACACCCCGCCTGTCCCGGCTCTGCAGGTCCCTGCAGTCCTGGCACTGCTCCTCCACTGTCCCATGTCCCCCTCAGCCCCAGGCAGGGGGGAAGGAGGATGTTCCTGTGGCTCCGGTCCTCATCCCACCCTCCTGTCCCATCCCTGGGCAGTAGGGAAAGAATTCTCCTGCTCCAAAGCCCATTCCACCTTCTTCTTCCATCCCTCATCAGCAGGGAGAGGATTCTCCTGCTCCAAACCCCAATCCATGCTCTTCTCCCAGATCCAGATAGGATGAAGGGAGGACTCTCCTCCTGCCCAATCCTGGTGCTCCAACCCCATCCCATCCTCCTCTCCCATCCCTCATCAGCAGGGAAAGGATTCTCGTGCTCCAACCCCATCCCATCCTCCTCTTCCATCCCAGGGCAGCTCCCTCTCCCTGTCCCCCAAACCCGGGCTCTCCGTCCCTCCGGCTCACCGGGACACTGGCCAGGAGCAGCCCTGAGGCCGAGTAGATCTCCAGGAGAGGGCGGGTGCTGGGGGTCTTGTCCCGCCGGGAATTCCTCAGCAGAGCTGGGACAAGGAGGGGACAGTCCCTGAGCCATTGGTGGCCCGGCCCCAGCACGGGGAGGGGGGCTCGGGGGGCTGCACCCACCTATGGGACCCCCGTAGGGGGCAGCTGCCAGCACACAGTCACGCAGGTCCTCCCGCAGCCCCCATTCCATGGAGTAGAGCTCCAGCTTCCTGACGGGACATGGAGGGATGGATGGATGGATGGATGGATGGATGGATGGATGGATGGATGGATGATGGATGGATGGATGATGGATGGATGGATGGATGGATGATGGATGGATGGATAGATGATGGATGATGGATGGATGGATGATGGATGGATGGATGGATGGATGGATGATGGATGATGGATGGATGGATGATGGATGGATGATAGATGGATGGATGATGGATGGATGATGGATGATGGATGGACGGACATGCAGCAGGCACAGCGATGGGAGAGACATGGACAGTGCCCACTCCCAAACTGTTCCTGGGACACCCCCAGGAGCCCCAAGATCCACAGACACCCCGGGAACCCCCAGAGACCCCCAGGGATCCCCCAGACCAGCCTGGGGAGCCGGGGCCACCTTGGGCCCCCCCAGCCCCCCACAGGAGCCTCCTCCCAGCCAGCCCCAAGACCACCCTGACCCCTCAACCACCCCGGGACCCCTCAACCACCCCGGGACCCCCATCCCCAGCCAGCCCCAGGACTGTGACCACCCAGGGACCCCCTCACCCCCCCGGGACCCCCGTCCCCGCCAGCCCCATGGCTACCCCAGAACGGCAAAACAGCCCCAGAACCCCACCCCGGCCATCTCCGGGACCCCCTTTCCAGCCCTGCCATCCCCATTCCATCCCTGTCACCCCCCCGAGCACCCCCGGGACCCCGGAGCCCCGGGATCTCCGAGCACCCTCAGGCCGGTGCCGCCGCCCCTGCCCCTCACCGGTAGAAGGTCTCCTCGCCCAGCGGGTTCCAGTTGGCCGTGTAACAATCCATGGCGCGGCCGGGACGGGGGAACCGGGATGGGCCGAGGGGAACCGGGACCGGGACCGGGACCGGGACCCGGCAGCCCCGGAACTTCCCTCAGCGCGCCACGCCCCACACGTCGCGCCCTGACGCAGAGCTGGGCGCCGCCATCTTGGGTGAGGGCACGGGCAGGTGAATGGGGAACCGCCGCCATCTTGGGTGAGGGCGGCGAGAAAGGGGGAACTGCCGCCATCTTGGGTGAGGGCGGCGAGAAAGGGGGAACTGCCGCCATCTTGGGTGAGGGCGGCGAGAAAGGGGGAACTGCCGCCATCTTGGGTGAGGGCACAGGCCTTGTCCCCCGAAGTGTCGCCTGTCCCCAAAGACTTCCCCTCTACCCCAAAATCTCCGTTGTCCCCCATAGTGTTCCCAGTTCCCCAAGAGGCCTCTTATCCCCGAAGGTGTTGCCCAAGATGTCCCCTGTTCCACGCAGGTGTCCCTCAAGGTATCCCTTGTCCCTCAGAGCGTTCGCTGTGCCCCAGGCTGTCCCTTACCCCCAGGGGATGTCCCCGTGCCCCAAGATGTCCCTTGTCACACACACCGTTCCTACAGGTCTCTCTTTATTTCCTGCTGCTGGAAATCCAGGAAGGGCCACGGAGGTGCCCCCTGTGCCGGGGCGGGGATCGGGGGTGCCATGGCGGTGCTTCAGCGCCGGGGTTGGAGTGCTGCGGTGGATCCCGGAGCCGGGGCGCCGAGGCAGCGAGTGCCACACGTCCTGGTGTCACGGTGCCAAGGCAGTGCCAGGCTGGGGTGCCGCGGCGGTGCTTCGTGTCCTGGGATTGCGGTGCTGTGCCGGTGCTGCTGTGCCAGGATTGGGGTCGGAGTGATGGGGTGGCGTTCCGGGGCCGGGTTTGGGGTGCCATAGCGGTGCCAGGGTTCACGGGCAGCGGCGGTGCCAGGGTTCGGGTGCCACGGCGACGCCTCATGTCCCGGGCTCGCGGCGCCGCGCCGGGGCTGGAGCTGACGTGCCACGGTTTGGGGCACCATGCCGGACCCTCCACGCCGGGACCGCGCCGCCCGGGCCCCCCTACTTATTGCCATCGCCCAAGTCACAGCGGTAGTGAAAGAACTGGAAGTTCAGCAAGGTGCTCAGCAGCGAGGGGTACGAGGTGCCCACCCTGCGGAACCCCTGCCCCTCGTAGAGCCGCTGCGCCACCACCTGCACCACGGAGGTGCTGAGCACCACGGTGCCGTAGCCGCGGGCGCGGGCGAACGCCAGCACCTCCCGGCACAGCGCCCGCGCCAACCCGCGGCCCCGGTGATCCCGGCTCACCGACATCCTCTTGAGCTCCAGCTCACCTCGGCCCGTGGGCACCGCCGCCACCATGCCCACCACGGCGCCGCCCTCCTCGGCCACCCAGAAGCGGCAGTCGGGCGGGCGCAGGTACGTGCCGGGCATGTCGCACAGGTCGGTGCCCAGCGCCTCGCGCACGTAGTCGGCGCAGAGCGAGCGCACCAGCACCCAGAGCAGCACCAGCGCCAGCGCCACCGCGCCCAGCCCCAGCACCCAGGAGCCCGCGGCCGCCCTCGCCGCCACGAAGACGGCCAGCAGCGCCAGGCGCACCCGCGCCGCCCGCAGAACGTGCCGGAAGCTGGCCGGAGCGTGCTCCAGGATGCCGCGGGCGAACAGCGCCCGCACGGCCTCGTAGTCGTGGTCCTGGTACTGCCGGATGCGGAACGACGCCATGGGGGCACCTGGGGGGTGGCACGGAGAGGGGTTAGGGTGGTGCCATGGCGGGGATGGGCTGGGGGAAATGGATGATGGGGGGTACGGGGGGGACAGGGACGGCCAGACCCATCCCTGGGGTGGCACAAGGGGTCGGGGCAGTGCCATGGATGGGGACCCCCAGACCCATCCCTGGGGTGGCACAAGGGGTCGGGGCAGTGCCATGGATGGAGATCCTCCACGATACCTCCAGAGCCCATCTCTGGGATGGCACAGGGGGGTCAGGGCAGTGCCCACCCTCACACGGACCCCCAGGGTGCCCCCAGACCCATCCCTGGGGTGGCACAAGGGGGTCAGGGCAGTGCCATGGAAGGGGACTCCCAGACCCCGTCTTTGGGAGGGCACAGGGGGGTCAGGGCAGTGCCCACCTTCACAGGGACCCTCAGGATATCCCCCAGCCCCATCCCTGGGGTGGCACAAGGGGGTCAGGGCAGTGCCCACGCTCACAAGGACCCCCAGGGTGCCCCCAAACCCATCCCTGGGGTGGCACAAGGGGTCAGGGCAGTGCCATGGTGGGGACCTCCAGACCCATCCCTGGGGTAGCACAAGGGGTCAGGGCAGTGCCCACCTTCACCGGGATCCCCAGGGCGCCCCCAGACCCATCCCTGGCATGGCACAAGGGGGTCAGGGCAGTGCCAGTGCTGCTCCCACCCGAGGGTCCCCAAAAACAAGGGGAAAAAAGTTGGGGAGAGGGTCCCTTTTCCCCCTTGCTGAGCCCTCAGGTGTTCACCCCCCACCCCAGCTGGGCAGGGGCTTTACCTGGCACACCCGCGGTGGCAGCACGGGCACTGGGGAGAGGGGGGGACACAGGGGAAAAGCTGCAGGATCTGGGGGTGCCTCCCACCCTCTCTCCGGGACCCTGGCACTCACCGGGACTCCGGCACTCACCGGGAGCCGCGGCACGAACCCGCCCCGGGCAAAGGTGGGCAGAGCGTGGGCACCGCGCTGTGCCAGTGACGGAGCGGGGCAAAGGGGCAAAGGGGCAAAGGGGCAAAGGGGCAAAGGGCCCGGGGGGGGCACGGGGACAGGAGGGGACAGGAGGGGGCACAGGCACAGGAGGGGACACGGGCACAGCCCCCCCACCCCGCGGGTATGGGGGGACAGAGCCATGCTGGGCACGGCGGGGAGGTCCCCAAAATGCCCCAAACCCGGCGCTGCGGGGGGTGCCCGGCCCCAACCCCCCCCNNGCCGCCCCCCCCCACCTGCTGCTCCCGGCGCTGTCGCTCCTCAGACCGGGACCGGCGGCTCTGCGGCTCCTCGGGGACAACCGGGGGGTCCCTCAGCGGCCCGAGGGGCGCTCGGTGACCCCCCCGGCACCGCGCCGAGGGGCTGTTTTTGGGGGGGGGTCTTTGTTCGCCGCACCCCCCAGCCCGGCCCGTGCCCGCAAGAAGCCGGACGCGTTCAGCCCATCGCTCTGCGGCGCTGCGGGTCGGGGGTCCGGCGGGTTTTGGGGGGGCTCCGGTGGCAGCACGGGGAAGGGGGGACACCCCCAATTCGGGCCGTGCCCAGGCCGGAGGAGGCTCCGGCGGCGCGGCGGGCGCAGGCGCCGAGCGGGAAGCGCTGCCCCTGCCGATGATGCCATAAAGAGATCCCGGAAGGTTGTGGGGTCACGGGGGGGGATTTGGGGGAGCGCAGGGCACGGGGGGTCCGGGCAGTGGCGGGGGGGACACTGCACGAGACCTCTGTCACCCCCAAATCCCGGCGATGGGGCAGCAATGGGTGGCTACGGGGAAGTGGGGTGGGGGTCCAGGCTCTCGCAGAGTGGGTGTCCTCACTGTGGGGACCCCCATGCCCTGCCCAGGGTCACCCCAGGGGGCTGGGGGGGTCCTCGTGGTGATGATCGCCCCCCCCAGCCCCGTGCCGGAGCCTCCCCGTGGGGTGTCACGGGGGTCCCGGGGGTGTTGGGGACCCCCAGGAACGGCTCAGCCCAGCGCTGGGGACAGCCCTTCATTTGGGGAGGGGACATGGTGGCACCAGGGCCCAGCAGGGCACAGCCCCCCACCCTGCAGGGCCGCCGGGGGGGTCACCACAACCCCTTTATTGTACCCCACAACCCCCCAGTGCCCCCCGCGGGACTGGGGGTGCCCCGTGCCGCTGTCCCCGTGTCCCGGGGGGTGCTGGCTCTGATGGTGGTGCCGACCCTCCGGCCAGGACCCCATGGCCCCCCAGACCCCACCCCCGACCCTGTCTCCGTGTCCCCAAAGCCCCGTACGTCCCCCCAATGTCCCCCCGTGTCCCCTCCCCGTGTCCCCGAGCCCCCTCAGTGTCTCCCCAACCCCGCCCCCTCCGCTCCGCCGATGAATCTCGCACCCGATTGGTCCCGCCGCCGCCACGCCCCGCCCCTCCCGCCGCCAGCAGCCAATAGGCCCCCAGAGATGAAGGGAGGGCGGGACAAGCGCTCACGTGCACATGGGGGGGCCAGATGATGCATTGGGGAAAAGGGGCGGGGTCGTGCGGAGACCGCGACACCAGGAAAGGGGCGGGGATTTATGGGCGTGGCTTATAGCCGATTACTATTTCTACCACGGAAAGGGGCGTGTCCTAATGAAGGGCGCGGCTCAGCGCGGGATTCCTATTGGTCCGCAGCGAATAGGCGGGGCTTTACCGCGGCGGCGCGATTGACGGGCGGGAAGTGGGCGTGGCCTGTCGAGGGGCGTGGCCTCGCCGAGTTCCCACGCGGGGCTCCGGGGCAGGATCGAGCCCCGTTCCCGGTCCCGTTCTCTTTCCTGCTCCCACTCCTATTCCCGTTCCCGTTCTCTTTCCCGGTCCCTCCGCCGCTCCATGCTCGCAGACTCGCAGCGGCAGCGCAGCCGAGCTTTACTGGGAGCCGTCCCGCCCGGCCCCCGGGCCCGGCCCAGGCGGCGGAGGCGCAGCCGCTGCAGCCGCAGGGCCGGGTCGGGGCCCGGCCGGGTCCTGCCGGGCCGGTGGCGGCCCCGCGCCCGCGCCAGGCGGAAGCTGCACGGGGTGGGAACGTTCTCGAAGTAGACCCGGCACGGCTGCGTGGCCGCCTCGTAGCCCTCGGCCCGCGCCGTCACCTCGTACTCGCCCGGGTTCAGCAGCCGCCAGTAGTCCCCGTCCGAGGCTGCGGCGGGGGCGGTGTCACACTGCTGTCCCCACCCCTGTCCCGCTCTTGTCCCACCTCTATTCCTACTCCCATCCCCGATCCCACCCCTATTCCCAGCCTAATCCTGCTCCTGTTGCCGTCTGCAATCCCAATCCCATCCCCTTTCCATCCCTGTCCCCAGCCCCATCCCACTCCTGTCCCCATCCCCTTTCCCAGTCCTATTTCCATCCCCATCTGCAATTCCCAATCCCATCCCCAAATCCCAGCCCATTCCTTTCCCTGTCCCCAGCCCTGTCCCATTCACATCCCCAATGCCATCCATTCCTGTCCCATCCCTATTCCCAACCTCATCCCATTTCTCTTCCCATCCCAATCCCATTCCTGTCCCCATCCCATCCCATCCCCTTTCCCAGTCTCATCCTATTTCCATCCCCATCTGCAATTCCCAAATCCCATCTCATTCCTTTCCCTGTCCCCATCCCCATTCCCATCTCCATCCTCACCCCGTTCCCATCCCATCCCACCTTCATTCCCACCTCATCCCGCTCCCATTCCCACCCCAAATCCCATCCCCCCCCATCCCGGTGTCCCCGTACCGGTGCGGACGTCGTGGTTGATGCCATCCACGGAGATGATGGCGTTGGGGATGCCCTGCTCGGTGTCACTGTCCCTGACCACGCCCTTGATCCCGCGGTGCACCTGCAGGGCATGGGCAGGTGCCACAGGGGTGTCCCCCCCCTCCCGGTGCCACCCTCAGCGTTTGGGGACAGCCACGTCCCGCTGCCACCCTGCTGAACCCTGCCGTGCCCATGGCCACCCTGGAATGTCCCCAGCGTGTCCCCCCTCAAAGGTTTACAGAGACCCCCTGGGGGTCTGCCCTGTCCGTGACCCAGTGTCCCCATTGTCCCAGCACCCCCAGTGTCCCCACTGTCCCAGCACCTCCAGACCCCACCCAGTGTCCCCATGTCCCAAAGCCCCCCAAATCCCCCACTCTGGACTCCCAGTGTGTCCCCATAATCCCAGAACCACCTGGATCCCCTCAGTGTCCCCATGTCTCAAACTCCCCAAATTCCCCATCCTGGACCCCTCTTCCCCAGAGTCCCCCTGGTCCCAGCACCCCCAGAACCCCCCCAGTGTCCCCATGTCCCAAACCCCCCCAAATTCTCCATCCTGTACTCCCCTTCCACTCTGGACCCCCCTTCCCCACTATCCCCTGATCCCAGAACCACCTGGAGTCCCTCAGTGTCCCCACATCCCAAACCCCCCAAATCCCCCACTCGGGACCCCCCTCATCCCAGCACCCCATTCCCCCCATTCCCATCACGCTCCGGCCCCTCCGCACGGACAGACCCGGGGTGTCTCCTGCCACCCTCGAGCCGTGTCCCCAAGCCCCGGGTGCCACCCCGGGTGCCACCCGGGTGCCACCCCGGTGCCACCCCGTGCCCCACCTGCTCCATGAAGAGCAGCAGCGACTCGCGGTTGTTCTCCCACTCCTCGGGCAGCTCGGAGGCGTGCGGGAATTTGTCGCAGGAGAGCTCCACGGTGATCTCGAAGCAGTTGGTGTGCAGGTAGCTGAAGTCGTTCATACCTGCGGGGCACAGGGCGGGTGGCAGCAGGGGACAAAGTGACAGAAAAGTCCCGGAGTGTCTCTGAGAATTTCAGACTTTCTGTGCTGGCAGGCACTGACCCCCAGAGAACACTGCATTTAACCTAAAGCCATGGAGAAACTTCCAAAATTAAACGATAGAACTAAGATTTTGAATGTGCTGTTTGATTAAAAGTGTGTAATATCACGTGGTGGAAAACTCAGAGTTTAAGGTTTTAAAATATAATGATATCTATAAAGCAAAATAGAAGTTTCAGGGCACTGCTGGTCCTTCTTTCTTACCTTCTTCTCCATGGGTTTGGGTGGTTTTGTGTAATTAGATAAAAAAGTCCACATTGCAAGTCACAGGTTATTGAGTTAAAAATAAAAATAATTTAGGTGTCATTTCTTTAGTTGGATAGTTTATCCTTAAAAGGCCTTGTAGAGAGAGAGACAGAGCTCCCTTTTTAGCTTGTTAAATTACTGTAAAACTCAGGGTTTGTGACATAGATAAGAACTGACAAACATCTGAGTCCAAACGAGAAATATCATCCCACACATTTAATCCTGACCCTAACAAAAAAGAAAGAAATGCCATGTGCCACCTGAGCTCAGAGTGTCCCTGCTCACTGCCATGTGCCACCTGAGCTCTCAGAGTGTCCCTGCTCACTGCCATGTGCCACCTGAGCTCTCAGAGTGTCCCTGCTCACTGCCATGTGCCACCTGAGCTCTCAGAGTGTCCCTGCTCACTGCCACCGTGTGTCACCTGAGCTCAGAGTGTCCCTACTCACTGCCAGCCACCGTGTGCCAGTTGGCACCGTTGATGATGTTGCCGTGGCGCGTGAAGTCGTCGTAGTGGCAGCGCCGGCGCTCGCCGCTGGCCATGGCCAGGTTGGCGGTGGCGTAGACGGTGGCCAGCCATCGGAAGACGCCGTCGTCGGGCGTCGGGGTCAGCTCCTGGGCCTTCCAGTAGGTGCGGCTCATGTCGAAGGGGTAGGTGACCACCAGCTCGCCGCCGTGCAGGTTGGCGCTCAGCACGAACGGGTAGCGCTGCATCCACGCGATCACCGCCCGCGTCTCCGGGGCCACCTGCGCGGTGACACCGCCGTCACCCACGCCTCTGGGGACACCCAGGCATCTCTGGGGCCACTGGTGAAGTGACACCGCTGTCACCCACGCCTCCACGGACACCCATGCATCTCTGGGGCCGCTGGTGAAGTGACAGCGCTGTCACCCGCATCTCTAGGGCCACCTGTGCGGTGACACCGCCGTCACCGCGTCTCTGAGGTCATGTGTACGGTGACACCGCTGTCACTGCGTCTTCGGGGCCACTTGCACGGTGACACTGCTGTCACCCACACCTCCGCAGCCACCCATGCATCTCTGGGGCCACTGGTGCAGTCACATTGCTGTCACCCATATCTCTAGGGCCACCCGTGCAGTGACACCGCCGTCACCTGCACCTCGGGGCTGCCTGCGCAGTGACACCGCTGTCACCCATTCCTCCAGGGCTGCCTGTGCGGTGACACCGCTGTCACCAGGGCCTCGTGGTGGTGGTGGCCACATCCTTGTGGCTTCTGGTGACCCACGGAGCTGGGCGGGTTCAGCCCCAGTGCAGCGCCCTGTGGGTGGGCAGCACCAGCCCGGTGGATTGGGAGGAGTTTTGGGGGTTTTTGAGGGGTTTTAGGGGGGTTTCAGGGGCACTCTGGGGGGTTTTGGGGCCTCACCATGGATGTGATAGGATGGGGGTTTTGGGGTCTCACCCCAATGTGATAGGATGGGACTTTTGGGGTCTGACCATGACACCAATGTGATAGCATGGGGTTTTTGGGGTTTCACAGTGACAGGATGGGGGTTTTGGTGTCTCACTCTAAGGTGATAGGATGGGGGTTTTGGGGTCTCACCATGGCACCAGCGCGGGAGGGTTGGGGTGTTTTGGGGTCTCACCCCAATGTGATAGGATGGGGGTTTTGGGGTCACACTCTGAATGTGACAGGATGGGGGTTTTGGGGTCTCACCCCGATGTGACAGGATGGGGGTTTTGGGGTCTCACCACAGCACCAGCCCGGGAGGGGTGGGGTGTTTTGGGGTCACACTCTGGATGTGACAGGATGGGGGTTTTGGGGTCTCACCGTGGCGTTGGCGAAGGTGTAGTACTCGGGGATGGGGATGTAGTGGTTGGGGAACTCGTGGGGCACCAGGTCGTTGTCCTCGGCGTCCCACAGCGCCGTGTTCAGGTCGGCGAAGTTGTGGTTGAGGTCGATGCCCTCGTACGTCCAGCGGCCCATGGCCCATCCCGCCAGCTCCGAGCCCTGCCGGGGCACCGCGGGCACCGGGATCACCGGGATGGGCACCATGGGCATGGGGATCACCGGGATGGACACTGGGATCACCGGGATGGGCACTGGGATGGGCACCGGGATCACCGGGATGGGCACCATGGGCATGGGGATCACCGGGATGGACACCACGGGCACGGGGATCACCGGGATGGGCACCAGGATCGGTGCTAGAATGGGCACTGCAGTCACCGGGATGGGCACTGGGATGGGCATTGGGATCAGCA